GTGTGTGTACACGTGTGTTTTTGTGAACATTCGTACACATAATATGCACATAGATATAAAGGGGGTCTTTATCCAGGCCGTCATAAGTGAGCTTACCAATAACGACCTTCTTCAACATTGTATTATGTACTTTCCTGCTCACTGCGTCACCCGATTGTATTTTATGTACCTAAATTTGAACCTTGAAATCAACGTCTATTGCTTTTAAAGAGGTATTGTACAAGCTTTATGTCGATAAACTTCGATGGGCATACTATATATACAGTCTACTTCAAAGGAAACATAGTCGTGATGTGTAAAAAGCTAAAAGAGAGACACACCATAAAGCCACACAAACGTCTTAATTCGGACATATTGTCAACACGATATTGTGAAGATAAACATCTATGCTTGACAGTATGTACTACATAATAAATATTTAGCAGTTGACACTTGTCTTGACACACATTAATGTTGGACTGGGAGTAAATTCGTTTCAGATAAATTATAATGATTGGATATCGTCCAAACGAAGGAATTTGGTAATTCATATGCATTAACTTTTTCATAAAAATAAATAGCTTCTTTAGATTTTGTTTCAAAAAAAAAAGAGTTTTATTTTGTCGGGGATTATCGGCCAAATCTATATTTAGAAGATACACCAATTTCAGATTTCAGGACGGACTTCTCCAGTTGTTAGTGCAACTGGGGTACCTACAGTTCTAGGGCGAATTCTGCTCATATAGCGGCCAAAGTAAGGGTCTACAGTCGATATAGAACAGAATAAACCCAGAGGCATAGACCAAAGAGCCCTTAGCGAGCGCAATTTGAGTTAAAAACTATTTATTACAAACAAACCCTAAAAATAAATACCGCGAACACAGAAATAATACGCTGCTAAAAAATAAAAATAAATTCGATATAGAATATTAGAGGCACAATATCTGCTTCTCATGCCTTAGATACGTACTCTCAATTGTATGTAAACATACCTCAACATATACATACACATACACAACGTACACAAGCTATCTCATAGCACTATAGTATACTTCAAACCCACAAAATCCCAGCAAAATGTCTAACAGCGACGACTTGTACCCCATCGCGGTGCTTATTGACGAGCTTAAGAACGAAGATGTGCAGGCTCGATTAGAATCAATCTCGCGCTTAACAACTATATCTCTGGCCCTAGGTCCAGAGCGCACTCGTTCGGAGCTACTGTCCTTCCTACAAAGTATGTGGATGTAGCGCAAATTTTTTAGAGTCTGTTCAGATATTATGGGAGGCGGTGTTTAGGTAGTTACTTACGTGTCAGTGCGAAAGGGAAGAGATATATGCTCTCATATATATCAATTTACAGGTTTATCAAGGTGAAACGCCTAAATTTTTACCTGTATAAATTAGT